ATTGACACAACATAACAGTACAAAATGCAAAAAGGTAGAAAAAAGGTAAAATTGTTGCTGTACATTGATGTCTAAAAAATGAGGCTATAATAAATTCGGACTTGTGTAAGCCCCGCAGCTATATTCAAGTATACCACAGTGACGTCTAAAATGCTTTGAATTAATTAGCACCTTGGAGAGTGCTGACCGTTTCACCACCATTGATAGTAGGCTACTTGGCTGCTACGTTGTGTTTGACACTTATTTTCTCAATGTGTTTCGGTACCTCAGAGCCCCCAGGATACTTTGTCATCACTATGTGTTCCGGGACCTCCCGATTTACAAATTAAGCACTGATGATGACATTTCTCTAAAACAGGTTATAAGCTACATGTGCATGTCCAAGCCAGAACAGTATGCTAAGTTATGAGGGAGAAAGGGACCAAATGATTAGGGTGAAGCACATGGGCTACTAACATCTTACTACACAACATACACTTAGTATTACTTATTTAGCTACAGTATACATATCTCCCTGGCATATTACATCATTAATGCAGCAGCATACAATACGTTTTTTGGACTCACCTTGTTGTGCTGTGCTCACCTGAACAGGAAGGTGGCGCGGCGGTCCTTCTGTGGACACATTTTGTCATCAAACTTTGTCATCAAAGTCGGGCATTCTCTGGATTTATTGTGCTTTCAAGACAACTGGGAACTCGGAAAAAAAAACAAGGTTGAATCGTGGCATCAGTGATCCTCAGGTCGGAGCTCTAGAAAGAGTTCCAAGTTCCCGACTTGGAATTCCGAGTTGGATGACCGTTCAAAACGTATTTTCCCAGTCAAAGCTAGATTGTCTTGAACTCACTGATATCTGAGATTTCCCAGTTCCGAGTTTCCAGTTGTTTTGAACACGGCAGAAGTCATACTGGATTGACACCAATGTATTCAACATGGAAATCATACTTTCAAAATCCTAGCTAGCAAGCTAGACAAGCAGTCATCATCAATCGGTGCTCATCGGCCATTGGACATAAACATTACACAACAAGTTGGAAATCGCAAATTCAACAATGAGTGTTTTTTAAGAAATCAGTGGCTAATTGCAAGGGTTGCAAAGCAATCAATATTTTGCTTCCCCTGCCTGCTATTCGGTGGAGAGGGTGTGTGGTCCAAGTCTGGGTTTAAGGGTCTCATTTCCAAGATTAAAAGGATAAACATTCACACGCAACACCATGGTCCAGAAAAGGTTGAATACATTGGCCATACTGTCAATCCAGCATGACTTCAATGAGTTCAAGACAACTGGAAACAATGAAAAAAACTAGCTCCGACAGGGAAAATACGTTTTGAACTTCGAACTAGGAATTCCAAGTAGGGAACTCGGGCCTCTTTCTAGAGCTCCGACCTGAAGATCACTGACGTCATGATTCGACCTTGTTTTTTTCATTCTGAATTCCCAGTTGTCTTGAAAGCACCATAAATACAGAGAATGCCAGACTTTGATGAAAAAGTTTCATGACAAAATTTGCCCACAAGAAGGACCACCGCGCCAACTTCCTGTTCAAGTGAGAACAGCACAACGGTGAGTCCCAAAATGTATTGTATGCTACTGCATAAATGATGTAATATGCCAGGGAGATATGTATACTGTAGCTAAGAAAGTAATACTAAGTGTATGTTGTGTAGTAAGCTGTTAGTAGCCTATGTGCCTCACCCTAATAATTTGGTCCCTTTCCCCCTTATAACTTAGCCTACTGTTCTGACTTGGTGGTGCACTTAGCCTGTTTTAGAGAAATGTCATGATCGAATATTGTAAGAGCTTTCATTGTCTGCTTATATGCCCCCTTTATTTATCCTATGGTTCTGACTTGGTGTACAGGTAGAACACTGTAAGAACGGCCCATATTCTGAATTCTGTCGCAGTACATTTCAAAAGTGCTGAACAAATAGTTATATTGACTATGTCAATCTTAGCTCGCTCATTAATGTGTTAATCGAAATTAAGAGTTGCCTCTTATCCTCTCATCGTTTCCTTATGCCATAGTTTGTACATCTCAATTGTCAGTAGAAACTACATTTGTTTAAGCAAGTCAGCCATATCAGCTGTTTTTTAAAAAGGCAGTAAATGAGGCTGAATGACCTGTTTCGCTGCCAGATAAGGCTCCGCTGATAGCCAGGTGTAGATGTGGTAAGGATTCCCTCCATGATGCTGAAAAGAAAGCTCTGCTGTTGGGACAGCTTTATGTAGGCCCTAACAGTTTGTGGGCACCGTTTGCCACTGTTATAGTGCAATTAATGTATTGTTTAGTGTTATATTGTGTAGTGGCTTTGCTGGCATGCATAAAAAATGTTTTTTGGGAGCTTACCCCACCAAGATTTACATGCTAAAATCGCCACTGGCTAACACACATGCTTACACACACTTGTATACACAGCTGTTTCAGTGATTGTCAGCAAATGCACTATGACAGTGGTTCCCAAACTGTGGGTCGGGACCAACTTGTGGGTCACAGCAGGGGTCCAGGTGGGTGACATTGCCCTTAAAAATATACAACAACAAAAACATTTGGGATAGAAAAATGCTTTCAGTGTAGACTTAAACAACTCAAACCAAATAGAAAGTATGTAGAAAAGATCATGGACTTATAGATTTTTTAAATAATAGCCTATAATCTTTGAGAATTTACAATCAACAAAATAAAAGCAGTCAGGCCCCCATTGATATTGTTATAATAATTTAGCTAGCATAAGAACACATTAGCCATGTCAAAATGCGTAGAATTGTAGGAAATTAGTTTAAAGATGGCAACATTTTCTTTTAGCTCCATGGCAAAATACATAGAATTGCAGGAAATTGGCTTTAAAATTGCAACGTTTTCTTTCAGCTCCATAGCAGGATGTGTGGAATTGCAGGAGATTAGCTTGAAACTGCAGAGACAATATTTTTTACTTATTCTTTGGTCTGTGTATGTTTTTTCACCGCTCAACTCTTATGGTGGGTCACGACTCAAAAGACACCTCAATTGGTGGGTCACAAAGCAACATTTTGGGAACCCCTGCACTATGAGACCCCCCGGGGTCAAGGGTCAAGGGAAGAGTTTCAGTGTCATCACTTTTGGGGGTATCACCAGACACACAAACACATGTGTACACACACGTACACTACCAGTCAAAAGTTTGGACACACCTACTCATTCAAGGCTTTTTCTTTATCTTTACTATTTTCTACATTGTAGAATAATAGTGAACACATCAAAACTATGAAATAACACATATGGAATCATGTAGTAACCAAAAAAGTGTTAAACAAATCAAAATATATTTTATATTTGAGATTCTTCAAATAGCCACCCTTTGCCTTAATGACAGCTTTGCACACTCTTGGCATTCTCTCAACCAGCTTCATGAGGTAGTCACCTGGAATGCATTTCAATTAACAGGTGTGCCTTGTTAAAAGTTAATTTGTGGAATTTATTTCCTTCTTAATGCATTTGAGCCAGTCAGTTGTGTTGTGACAAGGTAGGGGGGGTATACAGAAGATAGCCCTATTTGGTAAAGACCAAGTCCATATTATGGCAAGAACAGCTTAAATAAGCAAAGAGAAACGACAGTACTTTAAGACATGAAGGTCAGTCAATACGGAACATTTCAAGAACTTTGAACGTTTCTTCAAGTGCAGTCGCAAAAACCATCAAGCACTATGATGAAACTGCCAGTCATGAGGACCGCCACAGGAATGGAAGACCCAGAGTTACCTCTGCTGCAGAGGATAAGTTCATTAGAGTTACCAGGCTCAGAAATTGCAGCCCAAATAAATGCTTCACAGAGTTCACGTCACAGACACATCTCAACATCAACTGTTCAGAGGGGACTGTGTGAATCAGGCCTTCATGGTCAAATTGCTGCAAAGAAACCAATACTAAAAGACACCAATAAGAAGAAGAGACCTGCTTGGGCCAAGAAACATGAGCAATGGACATCAGACCGGTGGAAATCTGTCCTTTGGTCTGGAGTCCAAATTGGAGATTTTTGGTTCCAACCGCTGTGTCTTTGTGAGACGCGGTGTGGGTGAACGGATGATCGCTGCATGTGTAGTTCCCACCGTAAAGTATAGAGGAGGAGGTGTTATGGTGTGGGGGTGCTTTGCTGGTGACACTGTCTGTGATTTATTTAGAATTCAAGGCACACTTAACCAGCATGGCTACCACAGCATTCTGCAGCAATACGCCATCCCATCTGGTTTGGGCTTAGTGGGACTATCATTTGCTTTTCAACAGGACAATGACCCAACACACCTCCAGGCTGTGTAAGGGCTATTTTACCAAGAAGGAGAGTGATGGAGTGCTGCATCAGATGACCTGGCCTCCACAATCCCCCGACCTCAACCCAATTGAGATGGTTTGGGATGATTCGGATGGCAGAGTGAAGGAAAAGCAGCCAACAAGTGCTCAGCATATGTGGGAACTCCTTCAAGACTGTTGGAAAAGCATTCCAGGTGAAGCTGGTTGAGAGAATGCCAAGAGTGTGCAAAGCTGTCATCAAGGCAAAGGGTGGCTACGTTGAAGAATCTCAAATATAAAATATATTTTGATTTGTTTAACACTTTTTTGGTTACTACATGTAGAAAATAGTAAAAATAAAGAAAAACCCTTGAATGAGTAGGTGTGTCCAAACTTTTGACTGGTACTGTACATGCACACACATACTCACACACATAATATCCCACTTACGTCTCTACACTATGACAATTAGAACTTTAGACATGCAGACCCCAGATTGCTATCACCCCCAAATCTCCTCAGCATATCTCTCTCTCATTCCTTCCAACATGCCAAACAGAGACATCATGGTGTGAGAGTGTGAGCAGAGAGCTGAGGCCCAGTGTAAAAACCCACTATCTCCCGTTGTCCTTTCTCTCTCTTTCGCTCTCTCACCTATTTATTTTTAGCACTTAAACAACTGGTCTCCTAAAAATGGGCATGTGTGTGGTGGGCAGGGGGAGAGGGGCGCTGCTATGTACGGTATCCAGCCACCCAGCGCGCTCCAGGCCTGTCAGGGCTGTTCTTTCCTTTTGTCTCGGCAGGAGAGAGGGAGCAAGGGAGCGAAACGGGGAGAGAGGGTCGCTGGCTCCTGAACAAACGTTAGACGTTGGACTATAGAGGACGGCTTGGAAGGAGTCTCAAGGAGATTTATACAATAACTGAAGGGCAACCTGTTATTCTACATCTGTCTTTCTATTGTTGTTTTAAAAATTATTTTTCAATTTTGGAGAGTTTGTTTTCTTTCCTAAGCCTATGCACTCTTGTGGAGGCCGTAACTAGTGATTAAAGGTTACTCTGTGATTCTCTGGGTGCCTGGTCGTTCCTAACTCGGACCATGCGTTCCCTTTGGCTGCTCCTGATCCCATGCCTGTCCCTGGCACCCCTCGTCCAGGCTGAGAAGGGCCTGGAGTTCCCTCGCTATGACGGAAACGACAGGGTCATCGACATCAATGACAAGAACTACAAGAAGGCCATGAAGAAGTACACCATTCTCTGTCTGCTGTACCACCAACCCATCCCTGATGGCAAGGAGCTGCAGAAACAACACCAGATGACTGAGATGGTGCTGGAGGTAAGCCTGAGGAGGAGGAGGAGGAGGAGGGGAGGAAAAGGGAGATGGTGGGGGAGGAGGGAGGTGGGGGAGGAGGAAGGAGTGGGGGGAGTAGGAATAGAAATAGGAGGAGGAGGTGGGGATAAAGGAGTAGGAGCGAGATGGTGAAGAGGAGATGATGAAGATACACTGGAGGAGGAAAGAGAGATGAGGAGGAGGAGGAGGAGGAGGAGGGGGAACACCTGGGCTGGACTGAGATGATTTAACAGTCAGCTAGACCTACAGTATTACTCCATAAATCATTTACAGTACCAAGACATTACAGTGTTCCATGGAGCCCAGAACTTACTGAGGGGGTTGCTGACTGGGGTTAAAAGAAAAATAAAGAGGTGTAATGGGGTTGCACTAAAAAATATGTTGCACAAAGCTTACTTCATTACACGCTAACTGTGAATGAAAAATGTAAAACATTGAATAAAGAAGTAAGCTTTATGCGACCTATTTTGGAGTGCGATGATGTTGGACTTTCAAGAAGCAAAGTGTCACTTGCCACATCATCATAATGATGCGTTTTGCATCATCCTGATGATGTGGCAAGTGACACTATTGCCGCGTTCACGTGCTAGTTGGAAGTAGGAAACTTTGAAATGTCTGACTTTCTAATTCGTTGAATGCGGCACGTGATTAACTACAACCAGTTAGCAAGTCGGACATTTCCTAGTTTCCTAGTTCTGACTAGCACATGAACGCGGCATTTTACTTCTTGAAAGTCCAATATCTTGAAAACTTAACTGCTGACATGCAAAACATTTTAGGACTCTATCAACAGTGGACTAATGGAAAAAAATCCCAAAAGATAGTTTTTGAGTGGAGTTTTCCTTTAATGTGTACACTGAGTATACAAAACATTATGAACACCTGCTCTTTCCATGACATAGACTGACCAGGTGAACCCAGGTGAAAGCTATGATCCCTTATTAGTGTCACTTGTTAAATCCACTTCAATCAGTGTAGAATGATTTTTAAGCCTTGAGACAATTAAGACACGGATTGTGTATGTGTGCCATTCAGAGGGTGAATGGGCAAGACAAAAGTGCCTTTGAACGGGGTATGGTAGTAGGTGCCAGTCACAACTCTGCTGGGTTTTTCACGCTCAACAGTTTCCCGTGTGTATCAAGAATGGTCCAGCACCCAAAGGACAACCCTGTGGGAAGGTGTTTTTAATGTTTTGTACACTCACTCAATGTACAGTGATGAAAAAAAGTATTTGATCCCCTGCTGATTTTGTACGTTTGCCCACTGACAAAGACATGATCAGTCTATAATTTTAATGGTAGGTTTATTTGAACAGTGAGAGACAGAATAACAACAAAAAAATCCAGAAAAAACGCATGTCAAAAATGTTATAAATTGATTTGCATTTTAATGAGGGAAATAAGTATTTGACCCCTCTGCAAAACATGACTTAGTATTTGGTGGCAAAACCCTTGTTGGCAATCACAGAGGTCAGACGTTTCTTGTAGTTGGCCACCAGGTTTGCACACATCTCAGGAGGGATTTTGTCCCACTCATCTTTGGAGATCTTCTCCAAGTCATTAAGGTTTCGAGGCTGACGTTTGGCAACTCAAACCTTCAGCTCCCTCCACAGGTTGTCTATGGGATTAAGGTCTGGAGACTGGCTAGGCCACTCCAGGACCTTAATGTGCTTCTTCTTGAGCCACTCCTTTGTTGCCTTGGCCGTGTGTTTTGGGTCATTGTCATGCTGGAATACCCATCCACGACCCATTTTCAATGCCCTGGCTGAGGGAAGGAGGTTCTCACCCAAGATTTGACGGTACATGGCCCCGTCCATCGTCCCCTTTGATGCGGTGAAGTTGTCCTGTCCCCTTAGCAGAAAAACACCCCCAAAGCATAATGTTTCCAACTCCATGTTTGACGGTGGGGATGGTGTTCTTGGGGTCACAGGCAGCATTCCTCCTCCTCCAAACACGGCGGGTTGAGTTGATGTCAAACAGCTCAATTTTGGTCTCATCTGACCACAACACTTTCACCCAGTTCTCCTCTGAATGATTCAGATGTTCAAACTTCAGACGGCCCCGTATATGTGCTTTCTTCAGCAGGGGGACCTTGTGGCGCTGCAGGATTTCAGTCCTTCACGGCATAGTGTGTTACCAATTGTTTTCTTGGTGGCTATGGTCCCAGCTGCTTTGAGATCATTGACAAGATCCTCCCGTGTAGTTCTGGGCTGATTCCTCACCGTTCTCATGATCATTGCAACTCCACGAGGTGAGATCTTGCATGGAGCCCCAGGCCGAGGGAGAATGACAGTTATTTTGTGTTTCTTCCAATTGTGAATAATCGCACCAACTGTTGTCACCTTCTCACCAAGCTGCTTGGCGATGGACTTTTAGCCCATTCCAGCCTTGTGTAGGTCTATAATCTTGTCCCTGACATCCTTGGAGAGCTCTTTGGTCTTGGCCATGGTGGAGAGTTTGTAATCTGATTGATTGATTGCTTCTGTGGACAGGTGTCTTTTATACAGGTAACAAGCTGAGATTGGGAACACTCCTTTTAAGAATGTGCTCCTAATCTCAGTTCGTTACCTGTATAAAAGACACATGGGAGCCAGAAATCTTTCTCATTGAGAGGGGGTTAAATACTTATTTCCCTCATTAAAATGCAAATCAATTTATAACATTTTTGACATGCGTTTTTCTGGATTTTTTTGTTGTTATTCTGTCTCTCACTGTTCAAATAAACCTACCATTAAAATTATAGACTGATCCTTTCTTTGTCAGTGGGCAAACGTACAAAATCAGCAGGGGATCAAATACTTTTTTCCCTCACTGTATGTGCAGTGTGTGTTGCTCTCAAGGTCAGTGTGTGTGTGTGTGTGTGTTTGTGTGTGTGAGGCTTCACAGTTCTGTCCAGCGCTGTCAGTTAAGGTTATTTCTGTTAATTCATTCGCCACTTCACTCTCGTGGTAATGTATGTCATTCACCCCAGCTCTCTGCCACAGGCAGAAATAGGACCGGCACTCATGCTCTGTATGTTATTGAGCTATACATGTGAAGGGCATTGCAGTGTTTGTCTCTCTCCCTGTTTTGCTTTTAAATTTAAGATACTCAAGATACTATATCAATTACATTTGTATTGAATAGCTAGAGGGTTAGCTAATTGATTATAGAATTTCATAATGCCCTATGACTGCATCTACAGTCTAATGTGCTATGAATATGTTTATAATGTATCAGCACTTCATAAGAAGCTACTTCAAGTAAAGTGTCAGTGTAGTATCCTACTGCAACAGTGTGATATCTGAGCTGTGACAGTGGGCTACAGTGAGCTACTTTGGCCTAAGCTCCTCTCCATAGCTGTCCTGTGCTCCTCATGGCTTGTGTTTAGTTAGAGTGTGATGTGCCGCAGGTAATCTGAGACAAGTCTCCCACTCCTGATAATAGCCCCAGATATTTAACTCACCACAGGTGGGTAAAGTCAACTTACACACAGCATAGTCAACTTACACACAGCATTGACACACACACTTACCCCACAGACATGCCACAAGGGGTATTTTCACAGTCCCCAAATCCAGAACAAATTCAAGAAATCTCCCACTTAAAAAGAAGAGAGAGGCCTGTAATTTTCATCATAGGTACACGTCAACTATGACAGACAAATTGAGGAAAAAAAATCCAGAAAATCCCATTGTAGGATTTTTAATGAATTTATTTGCAAATTATGGTGGAAAATAAGTATTTGGTCACCTACAAACAAGCAAGATTTCTGGCTCTCACAGACCTGTAACTTCTTCTTTAAGAGGCTCCTCTGTCCTCCACTCGTTACCTGTATTAATGGTACCTGTTTGAACTTGTTATCAGTATAAAAGACACCTGTCCACAACCTCAAACAGTCACACTCCAAACTTCACAATGGCCAAGACCAAAGAGCTGTCAAAGGACACCAAAAACAAAATTGTAGACCTGCACCAGGCTGGGAAGACTGAATCTGCAATAGGTAAGCAGCTTGGTTTGAAGAAATCAACTGTGGGAGCAATTATTAGGAAATGGAAGACATACAAGACCACTGATAATCTCCCTCGATCTGGGGCTCCACGCAAGATCTCACCCCGTGGGGTCAAAATGATCACAAGAACGGTGAGCAAAAATCCCAGAACCACACGGGGGGACCTAGTGAATGACCTGCAGAGAGCTGGGACCAAAGTAACAAAGCCTACCATCAGTAACACACTACGCCGCCAGGGACTCAAATCCTGCAGTGCGAGACGTGTCCCCCTGCTTAAGCCAGTACATGTCCAGGCCCGTCTGAAGTGCATTTGGATGATCCAGAAGAGGATTGGGAGAATGTCATATGGTCAGATGAAACCAAAATATAACTTTTTGGTAAAAACTCAACTCGTCATGTTTGGAGGACAAAGAATGCTGAGTTGCATCCAAAGAACACCATACCTACTGTGAAGCATGGGGTTGGAAACATCATGCTTTGGGGCTGTTTTTCTGCAAAGGGACCAGGACGACTGATCCGTGTAAAGGAAAGAATGAATGGGGCCATGTATCGTGAGATTTTGAGTGAAACCCTCCTTCCATCAGCAAGGGCATTGAAGATGAAACGTGGCTGGGTCTTTCAGCATGACAATGATCCCAAACACACCGCCCGGGCAACGAAGGAGTGGCTTCGTAAGAAGCATTTCAAGGTCCTGGAGTGGCCTAGCCAGTCTCCAGATCTCAACCCCTTAGAAAATCTTTGGAGGGAGTTGAAAGTCTGTGTTGCCCAGCGACAGCCCCAAAACATCACTGCTCTAGAGGAGATCTGCATGGAGGAATGGGCCAAAATACCAGCAACAGTGTGTGAAAACCTTGTGAAGACTTACAGAAAACGTTTGACCTGTGTCATTGCCAACAAAGGGTATATAACAAAGTATTGAGAAACTTTTGTTATTGACCAAATACTTATTTTCCACCATCATATGCCAATAAATTCATAAAAAATCCTACAATGTGATTTTCTGGATTTTCTTTTCTCATTTTGTCTGTCATAATTGACGTGTACCTATGATGAAAATTACAGGCCTCTCTCATCTTTTTAAGTGGGAGAACTTGCACAATTGAGCCCCCCATGATTGCATGGAACTCACTTCCAACTCAGATTGCTCAAATGAACAGCAAACCTGTTTTAAACCCCCCCCAGATAAAGCAATATCTCACCGCACAACGCATCTCCCTGATTTGACCTAGATATTTTGTGTGTATGTTCTGACATGTAGGCTATGTGTGACATTTTACATGTATGCAGTTCTGACCTTGAGATGTTCTTGTCTATTAATGTTCTGTATTATTTAATGTTTCATGTTTTGTGTGGACCCCAGGAAGAGTAGCTGCTGCTAATGCAACAGCTAATGGGGATCCTAATAAAATACCCCAAAATACTGCACTAGGGTTAGGGTCCAGGGTAATCATAATTAACTGTACTTGCTCTTTTTCTTCACTAAAGGATATCTGTATAAGATTACCATATCTGGGTTCAAAACTATTTCAAGTATTCTGTTGTTGAAAACACAAATAGTTGAATATTGGCATGTATTTGAAAATACTCAAATACACAGTATTTATACAAATATTAAAATACTCCCATGCATTTGAACCAGGTCTGTTTGCTATTTGAAAATAATGCATTTGGAAATAAGTATTTGCAAATACTTTTAAAAAGTAGTCTATGTATAGAAAGTTATTTGAAAATACTTTCAAATACTTCCAATATACAGTGGGGGAAAAAAGTATTTAGTCAGCCACCAATTGTGCAAGTTCTCCCACTTAAAAAGATGAGCGAGGCCTGTAATTTTCATCATAGGTACACGTCAACAATGACAGACAAAATGAGAAAAAAAAATCCAGAAAATCACATTGTAGGATTTTTTATGAATTTATTTGCAAACTATGGTGGAAAATAAGTATTTGGTCAATAACAAAAGTTTCTCAATACTTTGTTATATACCCTTTGTTGGCAATGACACAGGACAAACATTTTCTGTAAGTCTTCACAAGGTTTTCACACACTGTTGCTGGTATTTTGGCCCATTCCTCCATGCAGATCTCCTCTAGAGCAGTGATGTTTTGGGGCTGTCGCTGGGCAACACAGACTTTCAACTCCCTCCAAAGATTTTTTCTATGGGGTTGAGATCTGGAGACTGGCTAGGCCACTCCAGGACCTTGAAATCCTTCTTACGAAGCCACTCCTTCGTTGCCCGGGCGGTGTGTTTGGGATCATTGTCATGCTGAAAGACCCAGCCACGTTTCATCTTCAATGCCCTTGCTGATGGAAGGAGGTTTTCACTCAAAATCTCACGATACATGGCTCCATTCATTCTTTCCTTTACACGGATCAGTCGTCCTGGTCCCTTTGCAGAAAAACAGCCCCAAAGCATGATGTTTCCACCCCCATGCTTCACAGTAGGTATGGTGTTCTTTGGATGCAACTCAGCATTCTTTGTCCTCCAAACACGACGAGTTGAGTTTTTACCAAAAAGTTCTATTTTGGTTTCATCTGACCATATGACATTCTCCCAATCCTCTTCTGGATCATCCAAATGCACTCTAGCAAACTTCAGACGGGCCTGGACATGTACTGGCTTAAGCAGGGGGACACGTCTGGCACTGCAGGATTTGAGTCCCTGGCGGCGTAGTGTGTTACTGATGGTAGGCTTTGTTACTTTGGTCCCAGCTCTCTGCAGGTCATTCACTAGGTCCCCCCGTGTGGTTCTGGGATTTTTGCTCACCGTTCTTGTGATCATTTTGACCCCACGGGGTGAGATCTTGCGTGGAGCCCCAGATCGAGGGAGATTATCAGTGGTCTTGTAGGTCTTCCATTTCCTAATAATTGCTCCCACAGTTGATTTCTTCAAACCAAGCTGCGTACCTATTGCAGATTCAGTCTTCCCAGCCTGGTGCAGGTCTACAATTTTGTTTCTGGTGTCCTTTGACAGCTCTTTGGTCTTGGCCATAGTGGAGTTTGGAGTGTGACTGTTTGAGGTTGTGGACATGTGTCTTTTATACTGATAACAAGTTCAAACAGGTGCCATTAATACAGGTAACGAGTGGAGGACAGAGGAGCCTCTTAAAGAAGAAGTTACATGTCTGTGAGAGCCAGAAATCTTGCTTGTTTGTAGGTGACCAAATACTTATTTTCCACCATAATTTGCAAATAAATTCATTAAAAATCCTACAATGTGATTTTCTGGATTTTTTTCCCTCAATTTGTCTGTCATAGTTGACGTGTACATATGATGAAAATTGCAGGCCTCTCTCATCTTTTTAAGTGGGAGAACTTGCACAATTGGTGGCTGACTAAATACTTTTTTTCCCCCACTGTAAGTAGTTGATTTGGGCCCCATTATTTCAAAATACTGAAATACATGGAAAATATCTACATAATAAATAATCAAGTACACATGTATTTGAACCCAGGTCTGAAGATTACATCCATGTTGCATTATTTAATAAGGAGCTTACAGAGTGAGATTTGTTTGAAGAGTCCACAGCCTATCTGATATTCCTTCATCACTCTGTCAATGTGTCATTGACATAATATATCTCATGCTTGGACAAAGGCTACTTGTTTCATGTTGCATTTACTCTACATTGTAGTTTTCTGTCTTTGTTCGTTGGTTTTGGTTTGCTATAGGTTGAGAGATGTACACTGTACAGCAAATCCCTTTTAAGGTGTGTACAGTTTTGCTGAGCTGGAAAAAACACAGCCCCAATTTGACCTAGGATCTGCCAGAGCTCAAGGCCTTGGCTGGCAGAGCCTCACCTAATTGAGACCACAATGGCTGCAGCATTCTGGCCTGCATGTACATGTAGAGCAGTGCAGTTTTAGTCATTCTATAACTGTCTCCCTCTCTGTGTGTGTGTGTGTGTGTCGCCTTGAGGCGTTTGATGTAGGATCTTAATTTGAACCAGTTTGCTACAGCAGGAAAATAATCATGCAGCAACAGGAAATGTGAATTATTATGTGGATTATAATTAATGGATATTTTTGGTAGGGGTTGATACATTTGAAAGTGGATATTATAAACTTTAGAAGCCTTTTTAAACCTTGAATACACTACAAGTTTGCATTGCCTGCTGTATAGGACATTTCTCAGCAACAAAAGAGTGATCAAATGAAGATCTTACATCTGTACCAATAAGGGCTCTATTTGACACTGTTCCAATTTTAGTGTTATGATGATGTTGAAATAACGTCACTAACTGTCTTGTCATCTCCAGCTGGCTGCCCAGGTTATGGAGGAAAAGGAGATTGGATTTGGAATGGTCGACTCCCACAAAGACGCCAAGGTTGCCAAGAAGCTGGGTAAGAAAACACATTAACACTTCAGCCTGCACTATAGTTGCCAAATAGTATGATACTGCATGACTATGAAGCACCAAAAGGCTTTTGTACAGCCTTTAGTGAATGGCTGTAAATAATGGTCTGTATTTGACCCCCTGAACCCTAAACTATGACCCCAGGCCTGGTGGAAGAGGGAAGTGTGTACATGTTCAAGGGAGACCGTGTGATTGAGTTTGATGGCCTGCTCTCTGCTGACACCCTGGTGGAGTTCCTACTAGACGTGAGTGGACTGGGAGTGCCTCATTGATACTAGGCACAGATCTAGGATCAGCTTACTGTTGTGTCCCTTTCCCTGTACAACAATCTCTCTCTACTCTCTCTAGCTGTTGGGGGAGCCCGTGGAGGTGATAGGAAATGCTCTGGAGCTGAGGGCCTTCGACAGGATGGAGGAAGACATCCGCCTTATTGGATACTTCAAGAACGAGGAATCAGAACGTGAGTGTGTGTTTCTGCCAGTCTGTGTGTTTCTGTATGATGGCAGTGGTTGGACTGCTATTGGATGATCCCCTGGGCTTGATAATAACCAGATGATTTTTAAACGCCCCATCACCATGGATATCATTTCTTTCAGTCATTTAGCAGACACTCTTATCCAGAGTGACTTACAGTAGTGAGTGCATACATTTAAAATAATTTTTTCGTACTGGTTCGCCATGGGAATCGAACCCACAACCCTGCCATGCTCTACCAACTGATTTCCCATTTACCCTAAGACACAGCACATTTACATTACATTTACGTCATTTAGCAGACGCTCTTATCCAGAGCGACTTACAAAGCACCTCACTCATGATGAGCACAATGACGGCTGTCTCGCCCCTGACCAACTGTGGGAGCCTAGAACTAGGGGTCAACAGGGTTCAGTTATTTCAGTGCCTGTATGTGTCAACGGCATCTCCCTAAAGGCCAATGCTAGCCTAGCTAGCACACACAAGCTAACAGATGCTCTGTATCCGGCTATGCTAATTGATAGCACCAGTCGGGAATTAGACTTTAATGCTGAAGGTCTACCTCTCTTCACAATGGATAAGAAATGGTGTAGCAGGTGGTTATACAGTAGTACAGCAACTTCAAAATAAGTTAAGTGTCCTCTCTTCCATCCCTCACTCCTCCAATGCACTCCTTTCTCTTCTTCATAAATATCTCGTCTCCTCCAGACTACCATGCATTCAAGGAGGCTGCAGAGCAGTTCCAACCCTACATCAGATTCTTCGCCACCTTTGAGAAATCTGTGAGTATACTGACATCCATAACTTGAAATCCTGTTGCCTTGGTCTGTGAGTAGGGGTCCTGTCAGGGCAGGGCATGGGGTCCTGATTGGTCTGTGAGTAGGGATCCTGTCAGGGCAGGGCATGGGGTCCTGATTGGTCTGTGAGTAGGGGTCCTGTCAGGGCAGGGCATGGGGTCCTGATTGGTCTGTGAGTAGGGGTCCTGTCAGGGCAGGGTATGGGGTCCTGATTGGTCTGTGAGTAGGGATCTTGTCAGGGCAGGGCATAGGGTCCTGATTGGTCTGTGAGTAGGGATCCTGTCAGGGCAGAGTATGGGGTCCTGATTGGTCTGTGAGTAGGGATCCTGTCAGAGCAGGGCATAGGGTCCTGATTGGTCTGTGAGTAGGGGTCCTGTCAGGGCAGGGCATGGGGTCCTGATTGGTCTGTGAGTAGGGATCCTGTCAGGGCAGGGCATGGGGTCCTGATTGGTCTGTGAGTAGGGATCCTGTCAGGGCAGGGCATAGGGTCCTGATTGGTCTGTGAGTAGGGATCCTGTCAGGGCAGAGTATGGGGTCCTGATTGGTCTGTGAGTAGGGATCCTGTCAGGGCAGGGCATAGGGTCCTGATTGGTCTGTGAGTAGGGGTCCTGTCAGGGCAGGGCATGGGGTCCTGATTGGTCTGTGAGTAGGGGTCCTGTCAGGGCAGGGGGTCCTGATTGGTCTGTGAGTAGGGATCTTGTCAGGGCAGGGCATAGGGTCCTGATTGGTCTGTGAGTAGGGATCCTGTCAGGGCAGAGTATGGGGTCCTGATTGGTCTGTGAGTAGGGATCCTGTCAGAGCAGGGCATAGGGTCCTGATTGGTCTGTGAGCAGGGGTCCTGTCAGGGCAGGGCATGGGGTCCTGATTGGTCTGTGAGTAGGGATCCTGTCAGGGCAGGGCATGGGGTCCTGATTGGTCTGTGAGTAGGGATCCTGTCAGGGCAGGGCATAGGGTCCTGATTGGTCTGTGAGTAGGGATCCTGTCAGGGCAGAGTATGGGGTCCTGATTGGTCTTTGAGTAGGGATCCTGTCAGGGCAGGGCATAGGGTCCTGATTGGTCTGTGAGTAGGGGTCCTGTCAGGGCAGGGCATGGGGTCCTGATTGGTCTGTGAGTAGGGGTCCTGTCAGGGCAGGGGGTCCTGATTGGTCTGTGAGTAGGGGTCCTGTCAGGGCAGGGCATGGGGTCCTGATTGGTCTGTGAGTAGGGGTCCTGTCAGGGCAGGGCATAGGGTCCTGATTGGTCTGTGAGTAGGGGTCCTGTCAGGGCAGGGCATGGGGTCCTGATTGGTCTGTGAGTAGGGGTCCTGTCAAGTCAGGGGGTCCTGATTGGTCTGTGAGTAGGAGTCCTGTCAGGGCAGGGCATGGGGTCCTGATTCAAGGTGTTTGTGGTGTTTAAGGTGGCCAAGGAGCTGACCCTGAAGATGAACGAGGTGGATTTCTACGAGCCCTTCATGGAGGAGCCTGTCACTGTCCCTGACAGGCCCAACTCTGAGGAGGAGATCGTGGCCTTTGTCACTGAACACAGGAGGTAAGAAAGAGATCAGTATGGCTGTCAGAACACTGTCATTTCACTCTGATCAGTGTGATTAGTGACTCTGAACAGATAGGGTTGTGTAATAGTGTTTGTCTTTGTTTTCAGACCAACACTGAGAAAACTGCGTGCTGAGGACATGTTTGAGACCTGGGTGAGAAGTTTTATTATTTTTCAGTTCAGTTCAAAGCCTCTGAATAGCGCATTACTCAATGTAACATACATATAAGTGTTTTGATGTGCATTCTTGTTTTACTCGCCTTAATCCTTCTCATGATGTTGTCTCTGTTATTCTCAGGAGGACGATGTGGAGGGGATCCATGTAGTGGCCTTTGCAGAGGAGGAGGACCCTGGTAAATGCCATTATATCAATATCATTACCCAATTTTAGCATTGTGCAAGGCAAACAGTATAAAAGCACAGCTCTGCGGTACAGGTTCCTGAGGAGAGGAACGTCACATAGCTTTTAAAAGAGCAACCTCATACACAGTGCTTTCAGAAAGTATTCAAACACCCTTGACTTTTTCCACATTTTGTTGTGTTACAAAGTGGGATTAGCTGGATTAAAATGGATTTAATTGTCATTTTTTGTCAACAATCTACAAAAGAATGCTAAAAATATATGTTTTATTAATGGAAAATAAAACACTAATATATTTTGATTAGACAAGTATTCAACCCCCCTGAGTCAATACATGTTAGAATCACCTTTGGCAGCGATGACAGCTGTGAGTCTTTCTGGGTAAATCGCTAAGAGCTTTGCAAACCTGGATTGTACAATATTGGCCCATTAAACTTTTTAGAATTCTTCGAGCTCTGTCAAGTTGGTTGTTGATCATTGCGAGACAGACATTTTCAAGTCTTGCCATAGATTTTCAAACCGATTTAAGTCAAAACTGTAACTAGGCCACTCAGGAACATTCAATGTCATCTTGGTAAGTAACTCCAGTGTATATTTGGACTTTAGTTGTAGGTTATTGTCCTGCTGAAAGGTGGATTTGTCTCCCAGTGTCTGTTGGAAAGCAGACTGAACCAGGTTTTCCTCTAGGACTTTGTCTGTGCTTAGCTCTATTCCTTTTCTTTTTATAAAAAAAACTCCCTAGTCCTTGCTGATGACAAGCATACCCATAACATGATGCAGCCACCACCATGTTTGAAAATATGAAGAGTGGTACTCAGTGATGTGTTGTGTTTGCCCCAAACATAAAGCTTTGATTTCAAGCAAGTTCATTTCTTTGCCACCCTTTTTGCAGTATTACTTTAGTGCCTTATTGTAAACAGGATGCATGTTTTGGAATATTTTGTATTCTGTACAGGCTTCCTTGTCTTCACTCTGTCATTTAGGTTAGTATTGTGGAGTAAATACAATGTTGTTGATCCATCCTCAGTTTTCTCCTATCATAGCCATTTAACTCTGTAACTGGTTTAAAGTCACCATTGGCCTCATGATGAAATCCCTGAGCGGTTTCCTTCCTCTCAACTGAGTTAGGAAGGATGCCTGTATCTTTGTAGTGACTGGGTGTATTGATACACCATCGAAAGTGTAATTATTAACTTCACCATGCTCAAAGGGATATTCACTGTCTGCTTTTTTGTTTTTTTACCCATCTACCAATAGGTGCCCTTCTTTGTGAGGCATTGAAAAACCTCCCTGGTCTTTGTACACTGCTCAGAAAATAAAGGGAACACTAAAATAACACATCCTAGATCTGAATGAATGAAATAATCTTATTAAATACATTTTTCTTTACATAGTTGAATGTGCTGACAACAAAATCACACAAAAATTATAAATGGATGGAGGTCTGGATTTGGAGTCACCCTCAAAATTAAAGTGGAAAACCACACTACAGGCTGATCCAACTTTGATGTAATGTCCTTAAAACAAGTCAAAATGAGGCTTAGTAGTGTGTGTGGCCTCCATGTGCCTGTATGACCTCCCTACAACGCCTGGGCATGCTCCTGATGAGGTGGCGGATGGTCTCCTGAGGGATCTCCTCCCAGACCTGGACTAAAACATCCGCCAACTCCTGGACAGTCTGTGGTGCAACGTGGCGTTGGTGGATGGAGCGAGACATGATGTCCCAGATGTGCTCAATTGGATTCAGGTCTGGGGAACGGGCGGGCCAGTCCATAGCATTAATGCCTTCCTCTTGCAGGAACTGCTGACACACTCCAGCCACATGAGGTCTAGCATTGTCTTGCATTAGGAGGAACCCAGGGCCAACCGCACCAGCATATGGTCTCACAAGGGGTCTGAGGATCTCATCTTGGTACCTAATGGCAGTCAGGCTACCTCTGGCGAGCACATGGAGGGCTGTGCGGCCCCACAAAGAAATGCCACCCCACACCATGACTGACCCACCGCCAAACCGGTCATGCTGGAGGATGTTGCAGGCAGCAGAACGTTCTCCACGGCGTCTCCAGACTCTGTCACGTCTGTCACGTGCTCAGTGTGAACCTGCTTTCATCTGTGAAGAGCACAGGGCGCCAGTGGCGAATTTGCCAATCTTGGTGTTCTCTGGTAAATGCCAAACGTCCTGCACGGTGTTGGGCTGTAAGCACAACCCCCACCTGTGGACGTCGGGCCCTCATACCACCCTCATGGAGTCTGTTTCTGACCGTTTGAGCAGACACATGCACATTTGTGGCCTGCTGGAGGTCATTTTGCAGGGCTCTGGCAGTGCTCCTCCTGCTCCTCCTTGCACAAAGGCGGAGGTAGCGGTCCTGCTGCTGGGTTGTTGCCCTCCTACGGCCTCCTCCACGTCTCCTGATGTACTGGCCTGTCTTCTGGTAGCGCCTCCATGCTCTGGACACTACGCTGACAGACACAGCAAACCTTCTTGCCACAGCTCGCATTGATGTGCCATCCTGGATGAGCTCTACTACCTGAGCCACTTTTGTGGGTTGTAGACTCTGTCTCATGCTACCACTAGAGTGAAAGCACCACCAGCATTCAAAAGTGACCAAAACATCAGCCAGGAAGCATATGAACTGAGAAGTGGTCTGTGGTCACCACCTGCTAAACCAGTCCTTTATTGGGGGTGTCTTGCTAATTTCCTATAATTTCCACCTGTTGTCTATTCCATTTGCACAACAGCATGTGAACTGTATGTCAATCAGTGTTGCTTCCTAAGTGGACAGTTTGATTTCACAGAAGTGTGATTGACTTGGAGTTACATTGTGTTGTTTAAGTGTTCCCTTTATTTTTTTGAGCAGTGTAGTTGAATCTGTGCTTGAAATTCACTGCTCGACTGATGGACCTTACAGATAATTGTATGTTTGGGGTACAGAGATGGGGTAGTCAATGAAAAATCATGTTAATTACCATTATTGCTTATTGTCTGACCTGTTAAGCACATTTTTACTCCTGAAGTTATTTAGGCTTGCCATAACAAAGGGGTTGAATAGTTATTGACTTAAGACATTTCAGCTTTTCATTTATAATTCATTTCATAAAATTTTTAAGAACATAAATCTACTTTGACATTGTGGGGTATTGTGTGTAGATGACTGACACAAAATTTAAATTTAATTTTAAATTCAGGCTGTAACACAACAAAATATGTAAAAGTCAAGGGGTGTGAATACTTTCTGTAGGCACTGTATCAGTCTTATCTGAACCTGAGAATCACTGAAATGGATCATAGCTTCCAGGAAATTCAACAAACTTCTCAGGGCGTGATGAAACACAGACTAACCTTCTTGATGCGTTGTTCAGATGGTTATGAGTTCCTGGAGCTGCTGAAGGAGGTGGCCAGAGACAACACCCACCACCCTGGTCTCAGCATCATCTGGATCGACCCTGATGACTTCCCCCTGGTGAGACAGACGGACAGACCGACAGAGACAGACAGGGCTAAAGGAACTCTTCTACAAGTCCCTACAGTTCTCAGGTCTCACAGTGTGTTCTCTCTCTCTCTCTCTCCTCAGCTGATCCCCTACTGGGAGAAGACCTTCCAGGTGGACCTGTTCAAGCCTCAGATCGGAGTGGTCAATGTTACTGATGTGAGTCCCCTAACAGCTCCAGTACAGCATAAGAAATTGGTGGCAACCTGTCCGGAATTGTGAAATTCAGATCTAACACGATGGCTTCTGACCTTTGACCTCTCTTTCTTTCTCCCTCCCTCTGGACAGGCTGACAGCATCTGGCTGGAGATGGACGAACAGGACCTGCCCACAGCCCAGGAGCTGGAGGATTGGATAGAGGACGTCCTGTCTGGCAAGGTCAACACCGAGGATGACGATGATGATGACAACGACGATGATAACGATGAGGACGACGAAGATGATGACGAAGACGATGACGAAGATGATGACGAAGACGATGACGAAGATGACGACGAAGATGATGACGAAGATGACGACGAAGATGATGATGATGACGATGACGACGAAGATGATGATGACGAAGATGAATAAATCAAAAACTACAAATGTGTAATCTAAAATTCATAACATTGTTGTATAGTCTCTTTACTGTACTATCATCAAAGTGAACAAGTTCAGGGAGAGAGGAATAGACCTGAACGCTTTTAGAAAATATTTTGTACAATGTGTACATACATCACTGGCCAAACTCAACCTTTCTGCATTAGAAGAAAACCCCATCAACAGATTTTGTTTTTCAAGAATCTAATAAAAATACTGTAGATAAATGGAAATCTATTTGAAAGAGAGAAGTAACAATGTGTTGACCAACAGAGATACTTCAGAAAGCCCCAAACAGTACTTTCCATCCTTCCCTTAATGGCTGGCAACCACGACAAATACATCAATCTAACTTTTGTTTGCTCAATGAAGTGCTGCTGCACACTATCCTAAATATCACTGAAGTCAAACAAAAGGTTGGTATCTTTGTTTTTCTGTGCCCTTTATTATATGCTCTGTGTGTAGATAATTGCGTTTTAGGTTCTACTTCCTGGATTCAGTGCAAATACACACCTGTCTCACCCTTCCCAAGGGGCTATATCTTTCTTATTACTATTGACACTTTCCAATTTCCACAACACTATCTCTCCTTTCATCTCCTCCATCTCCGTATTCCTATGTGTTGTGTTTGAGTATGCAACAGCCGCAAAGTGAGATATCAGCATTACACACCCAGATGGGAGAGGAAAGCCTATTTAAATGCTAATTCTTCAAGTCTCAATTTCTCTCATTTATTCTCTCCCCATGTTTCGTTCTCTCTTTATCTTTGTCTCTTTCCCTCGACTCATCCCTTGTTCTTGCTCTCCCTCAGTGGGCTATTAGAAGAGATGTGTAGTGGCAGGAGAGAGTTCAGTGTTCCGTAGGACGCGGGCACAGTAGGGGGAAGGGGGCTTCAGATATTAACTCACCGTCTATACGCAACCTTCATATTACAACCACTAACTCTCGATCTCCTCACATACTGTATAGTACACAGACAAATACACTGCACCACACACGCACTTGCGTTCCAAAAATAAATTCATACAGTATGAGAATGTTGAAAATGTTCATACAAATATTTATTTTACAAACGTGTATCTTGATACAGTTATTGTAATTCCATATCTGTGATCTTAAAAAAAGCAAACAGTGAAAACTTAAGACTGAATTTGTCAGTATGAAATTCAGGATGGCTTGCACGCACGCACACACACTATTGGACAAACATACTTGCATACAATAACACAAACAAGTTGAGCATACATCATGTGTGTTTCAAAACATAGGCACCTTTGTAGTGAAGGATACATAACAGGAGACCAAGGCCCCATTCCAATACTTCCTTTCTCCCTTCCTTGAAGTAGTCACATATCTGAATTGGTTGGATTAGGGAAAGCATTGGTTGGCAACCTGATCTATCCAAAACGTATGACTTGAAGAAAACCAAGAATAAAAGATGAATTCGAACAAGGCCAAAATTCACAGCCATGATTTCAACACTACAAAATCCTAAACATTTTAATTTTTAGTGACAACAATGATTGTACAATTGCCTATAATTATCATATAGTCTTGAAAAATATGCACATGTAATAGGGAAAATTTGGATACAAAAATGCAATATTAAAACAAATAAATACTGTATATAAGAGTCCACAGATTAGTATAAAAATCCCAAAGCAGTGGTAGTACTACTAGTTGTGGCTAGATGGCACTACAGCTTCTGTTGTGAATGTAGACATCCCTCACTATCAGGAGACTGTTGTCTGCACATCAATACTGAGGAATATACCATATCCAACATCCAAACGTAAAAAAAATACATTAGAAATGTATCACTTGGGCCTATTGGAATCGGTTCCAGGATATTTAGATATGTGTATGTGACCAATACATTTTTTTGATTTTGATGAGTGGTATCAGATCAGTCAGTCATATCTGGAACACAATCCATTACTACAGCTACTTTTATGGTCTTCTCAAACTCTCCTAAGAGAGAGGATATTGTACCATCCTCCTTTTATCTGTTGTCTTCTCTAATATCTGAAGATGGAAAATGTTGAGCCTCAATCTGTTTCACTTAGCTTACAGGGTTAGGTTCTGTAGAAATGTAATAACAGCTTTATTTCATCTGGAGACAAGATAATATAATAATAATAATAATATGCCATTTAGCAGACGCTTTTATCCAAAGCGACTTACAGTCATGCGTGCATACATTTTTGTGTATGGGTGGTCCCGGGGATCGAACCCACTACCTTGGCGTTACAAGCGCCGTGCTCTACCAGCTGAGCTACAGAGGACCACACAAGACACAAATCTATTGCATATGTCTTATCATTAGATGCCAAAAGTATAGAATATGTCTGTATAAATGCTCTCCCCCCCCTCTCCCTCCCTCCCAGCTTGTTTGTTTTCTCAACTGTGAGTTCATGGTTAGAGGAGACAGTATTTAGCAATAGTCCGCTTTGGGTTTGAGTAAAACAGATTCTGACACAACCTCTTACAGATATGTCTAGGAATCCTGGGTAGTACAATGACTGAACATAACCGTGGGCAGCCAGACAAGGTAGAAATGTATCAATTAAATGGAAAGAACCCACACTTTTCAATAAAAACACATACACAATTTATCAATTATATATACAAACACATGTACAATTAATTGGTCCTCTGTAGCTCATTTATTTATTTAAGACAAGCAGTTTTAGTTTGAGACAACTGAACCTGAACTGTTGGTGATTAGGTAGTATTTCATTCATAGTACGGCAGACGATATGAAAATCCATCCTGGTTCGAATCCAGGCTCTGTCGTAGCCGGCCGTGACCGGGAGACCCATGGGGCGGCGCACAATTGGCCCAGCGTCGTCCAGGGTAGGGGAGGGAATGGCCGGCAGGGATGTAGCTCAGTTGGTAGAGCATGACGTTTGCAACGCCAGGGTTGTGGGTTCGATTCCCACGGGGGGCCAGTATGAAACAAATTAATAAATAAAAAATAATGTATGCACTCACTAACTGTAAGTCGCTCTGGATAAGAGCGTCTGCTAAATGACGTAAAATGTAAAAATGTAAAATACTCACTGTTGCTATAGCAACCCTAGGGAGGATCCAGAGACAGGTACATGTAGAGCAAGATTGTGTGTAGATACAGCTTGTATGTGTACACACACACGCGCGTGCGTGCGCAGACCACACAGAGGGAGAACAAAAATGCTGCAGGGGTCATCTACAGTGCATAGAAAAAACCTTGACATAATTCAGTGTTCCAGTTAGCCTCAAGACAATAGAAACCAGAGCATATTTCCCATCTCTCTCCATCTTCACTGCAAAGGAGCTATAGGGCTGGGGATCCATAGTGTTGATCAACTATGCTAACACTTCATCTTGGTACAATATCCCATATGCATCTGTTCATATAAAAACACAGTGCATTTGGAAAGTATTCAGACCCCTTGACTTTTTCCGCATTTTGTTACGTTACAGCCTTATTTTAAAATGGATTTTTTCCTCATCAATCTACACACAATATCCCATAATGAAAGCGAAAACAGGTTTAGACATTTTTGCACATTTATTAAAAATAAAAAACATAAATCCCTTATTTACCTTACTTAAGTATTCAGATCCTTTGCAATGAGACTCGAAATTGAGCTCAGGTGCATCCTGTTTCCATTGGAGATGTTTCTACAACTTGATTGGAGTCCACCTGTGGTAAATTCAATTGATTGGACATGATTTAGAACACCGGTCTATACAATGAGGGAAACAATTATTTGATCCCCTGCTGATTTTGTACATTTGCCCACTGACAAATACATGATCAGTCTATGATTTTAATGGTAGGTTTATTTTTACAGTGAGAGACAGAATAACAACAAAAAAATCCAGAAAAACGCATGTCAAAAATGTTTTAAATTGATTAGCATTTTAATGAGGGAAATAAGTATTTGACCCCTCTGCAAAACATGACTTAGTATTTGGTGGCAAAACCCTTGTTGGCAATCACAGAGGTCAGACGTTTCTTGTAGTTGGCCACCAGGTTTGCACACATCTCAGGAGGGATTTTGTTCCACTCCTCTTTGAAGATCTTTTCCAAGTCATTAAGGTTTCGAGGCTGACGTTTGGCAACTCGAACCTTCAGCTCCCTCCACAGATTTTCTATGGTATTAAGGTCTTGAGACTGGCAAGGCCACTCCAGGACCTTAATGTGCTTCTTCTTGAGCCACTCCTTTGTTGCCTTAGCCGTGTATTTTGGGTCATTGTCATGCTAGAATACCCATCCACGACCCATTTTCAATTGCCTGGCTGAGGGAAGGAGGTTCTCACCCAAGATTTGACGGTACATGGCCCCGTCCATCGTCCCTTTGATGCGGTGAAGTTGTCCTGTCCCCTTAGCAGAAAAACACCCCCAAAGCATAATGTTTCCACCTCCATGTTTGACGGTGGGGATGGTGTTCTTGGGGTCATAGGCAGCATTCCTCCTCCTCCAAACACGGCGAGTTGAGGCCAAAGAGCTCAATTTTGGTCTCATCTGAACACAACACTTTCACCCAGTTCTCTTCTGAATCATTCAGATGTTCATTGGCAAACTTTAGACGGTCCTGTATATGTGCTTTCTTGAGCAGGGGGACCTTGCGGGCGCTGCAGGATTTCAGTCCTTCACGGCATAGTGTGTTACCAATTGTTTTCTTGGTGACTATGGTCCTAGCTGCCTTGAGATCATTGACAAGATCCTCCCGTGTAGTTCTGGGCTGATTCCTCACCGTTCTCATAATCATTGCAACTCCACAAGGTGAGATCTTAAATGGAGCCCCAGGCCGAGGGAGATTGACAGGTCTTTTGTGTTTCTTCCATTTGCGAATAATCGCACCATCTGTTGTCAACTTCTCACCAAGCTGCTTGACGATGGTCTTGTAGCCCATTCCAGCCTTGTGTAGGTCTACAATCTTGTCCCTGACATCCTTGGAGAGCTCTTTGGTCTTGGCCATGGTGGAGAGTTTGGAATCTGATTGATTGCTTCTGTGGACAGGTGTCTTTTATACAGGTAACATGCTGAGATTAGGAGCACTCCCTTTAAGAGTGTGCTCCTAATCTCAGCTCGTTACCTGTATAAAAGACACTTGGGAGCCAAAAATCTTTCTGATTGAGAGGGGGTCAAATACTTATTTCCCTCATTAAAATGCAAATCAATTTATAAAATTTTTGACATGCGTCTTTCTGGATTTCTTTGTTGTTATTCTGTATCTCACTGTTCAAATAAACCTACCATTAAAATTATAGACTGATCATTTCTTTGTCAGTGGGTAAACGTACAAAATCAGCAGGGGATCAAATACTTTTTTCCCTCACTGTATAAGGTCCCACAGTTGACAGTGCATTTCAGAGCAAAAATCAAGCCATGAGGTCGAAGGAATTGTCCGTAGAGCTCTGAGACAGGATTGTGTCGAGGCACAGATCTGGGGAAGGGTACCAAAAAATGTCTGCAGCATTGAAGGTCCCCAAGAACACAGTGGCCTCCATCATTCCTAAATTTAAGAAGTTTGAACCACCAAGACTGTTCCTAGAGCTGGCCGCTCGGCCAAACTGAGCAATCGGGGAGAAGGGCCTTGGTCAGGGAGGTGACCAAGAACCCGATGGTCACTCTGACAGAGCTCCAGAGTTCCTCTGTGGTGATGGGAGAACCTTCCAGAAGGACAACCATCTCTGTAGCACTCCACCAATCAGGCCTTTATGGTAGAGTGGCCAGACGGAAGCCACTCCTCAGTAAAAGGCACATGACAGCCCGCTTGGAGTTTGCCAAAAGGCACCTAAAGGACTGACCATGAGAAACCAGATTCTCTGGTCTGATAAAACCAAGATTGAACTCTTTGGCCTGAATGCCAAGCGTCACGTGTGGAGGAAATCTTGTACTATCCATGCAGTGAAGCATGGTGGTGGCAGCATCATCATGTTGTGGGGATGTTTTTCAGCGGCAGGGACTGGGAGACTAGTCAGGATCAAGGGAAAGATGAACGGAGCAAAGTACAGAGAGATCCTTGATGAAAACCTGCTCCAGAGTACTCAGGACCTCAGACTGGGGCGAAGGTTCACCTTCCAACAGGACAATGACCGTAAGCACACAGCCAAGACAACACAGGAGTGGCTTCGGGACAAGTCTCTGAATGTCCTTGAGTGGCCCAGCCAGAGCCCGGACTTGAATCCGATCGAACATCTCTGGAGAGACCCGAAAATAGCTGTGCAGCAACGCTCCCCATCCAACCTGACAGAGCCTGAAAGGATCTGAATACTTATGTAAATTAGATATATTTTATTTATTATAAAAACCTGTTTTTGCGTTGCCATTATAGGTATTGTGTTTAGATTGATGAGGGGAAAAAAACTATTTAATACATTTTAGAATAAGGCTGTAACATAACAAAATGTGGAAAAAGTCAAGGGGTCTGAATACTTTCCGAATGCACTGTCAATACAATAAAAAATCTCAAAGTAGCCAAATATAATCTTTATAAATACCAGTAATATAAATAATTGAAGAGACTCAAAATACAACAATAAGAGCATAAAGTAAAAAAGGGTTTAAGAAACAGAACAAAAAAACATACCAAAATGGTAAGATACTGTAATTCTAGAATAGCCACGGTCCTTCGTGTCTGTTAGACTGATGTTTCAGATTGGAGACACAGGGTAAACTTGTGTGACTTGGGGTCGACGTACTCCTCGGTCATTTGAATGTAGGGGATGGACTTGACCGCGACCGCTAGGCTGAAGTCTAGACACCTAAGTGAGAAGACCATGCCCTCCTTTAGACCGCTGGTGACCGCAGCCTCGCTGACCAGAGTCCACTGACCGGCCATCCAGCGCTCTTGACCGTACTGCAGCGTAGGACCAGGGGACAGGTAGGCCTCCAGGAATGCCTGAACACACACACAGACACACACAACACATTTCAGAATAGCTGACACAGTTGTAAGGACATAATATAAGTAGCTTGTGGACATGCCTCCAATGCTGGTCATACTTGCCCAGTTCCAAATCAATCCCTATCCATTTTTCTTTTAGGAAGCTCAACTGAGGGGTCATCATGAAGAGTATTGTGTTAGGCCGGGGATGGGGACTGACTTGGCACTAGAGCAGGGCTAATGGGTTGAGAGGTTGATTCTTGCTTACCTTGGGGCTCATGTTGTGTTTGAGGCAGAAGGCCAGGTGTCTCTGGATGCTGTTCATGCTGTGGCAGTGCTGCCTCTTGGTGGTTCGGAGGTATTTCTGCAGGGCGCGGGCCATGGAGGGGAAGATGGCCAGGGCCGCCTCCCGTACGTCCATCACATCCCCGGGGGACGCTTCCTGCTCCTCCTGCTGCATCCGCCTCACATGCATGAAGGCCTCCTCCACAGCCACCACCAGCCTAACGTTACAGCAATGTACACACAGACACAACATTCAGTATACTGTACATTCATCTTTTCTTACACCCTAACATTACTATCCTAACGTTGGGTCAGTAACCGAAAGGACGTTGGTTTGAATATCTGAGACGACAAGGTGAGAAATCTACCGATGTGACCATGAGCAAGGCACTTAACCCTAATTTTCTCTAGGCCCCTAATTTTCTCTAGGGCCGCCGTCCTACTATGGCTAACCCTGTAAAACAACATTTCTCTGCACCTATCCGGTGTATGACAATAAAACATCTATTACAGCAATGTACACACAACATTCAGTATACTACTGTACATTCATCTGTTCTTACATCCTACAGGTTATAAAAACACACATGACAAGTCCATCTATGTATACCCTCATCTCTATTTTAAACCCTTGCATTAAGCATCATACAGCGCTTTCAGAAAGTGTTCACACCCCTTTACTTTTTCCACATTTTGTTGTGTTACAGCCTGAATTTAAAATTGATTAAATTGAAAATGTCACTGGCCTACACACAATACCCCATAATGTCAAAGTGGAATTATGTTTTTACAATTTTTTACAAATTTAATTAAATGAAAAGCTGAAAAGTCTTGAGTCAATAAGTATTCAACCCCTTTGTTATGGCAAGCCTAAATAAGTTCAGTAGTAAAAATGTGTTTAAAAAGTCACATAATAAGTTGCATGGACTCACTCTGTGTGCAATAATACTGTTTAACATGATTGTTGAATGACTACCTCATCTCTGTACCCAACACATACAATTATCTGTAAGGTCCCTCAGTCAAGCAGTGAATTTCAACCACAAAGACCAGGGAGGTTTTCCAATGCCTCACAAAGAAGGGCACCTATTGGTAGATGGGTAAAAAAAAGCAGACATTTAATATCCCTTTGAGCATGGTGAAGTTATTAATTACACTTTGGATGGTGTATCAATACACCCAGTCACTATAAAGATAAAGGCGTCTTTCCTAACTCAGTTGCCAGAGAGGAAGGAAATCGCTCAGGGATTTCACCATGAGGCCAATGGTGACTTTAAACCAGTTACAGAGTTTAATGGCTATTATAGAAGAAAACTAAGGATGGATCAACAACATTATAGTTACTCCACAATACTAACCTAAATGACACAGAGTGAAAAGAAGGAAGCATGTACAGAATACAAATATTCCAAAACATACATCCTGTTTGAAACAACGTACTAAAGTAAAACTGCAAAAAAAATATGCAAATAATTGGATTTTATGTCCTGAACACAAAACGTTGTTTGGGGAAAATCCAACACAACACATTACTGAGTACCACTCTTCATATCTTCAAGCATGGTGGTGGCTGCATCATGTTATGGGTATGCTTGTCATCGGCAAGGACTAGGGAGTGTTTTAGGACAAAAACAAACAGAATAGAGCTAAGCACAGGCAAAATCCTAGAGAAAAACTTGGTTCAGTCTGCTTTCCAACAGACACTGGGAGACAAATTCACCTTTCAGCAGGACAATAACCTCAAACGCAAGGCCAAATATACACTGGAGTGGCTTACCAAGACGACATTGAATGACTGGCCTAGTTACAATTTTGACTTAAATTGGCTTGAAAATCTATGGCAATGATCAACAACCAACTTGACAGAGCTTGAAGAATATAAAAATAAATGTACAAATATTGTACAATCCAGGTGTACAAAGCTCCTAAAAACGTACCCAGAAAGACTCACAGCTGAAACATGTATTGACTCAGGGGTGTCAAAACGTATCTAAATGAGATATTGCTGTTTTCATTTTCAATACATTTGCTATGATTTCTAAAAACATGTTTTCACTTTGTTGTTATGGGGTATTGTGTGTAGATGGGTGAAAAAAAATGATTTAATCCATTTTGAATTCAGGTAACAACAATGTGGAATTAGTCAAGGGGTATGAATACTTTCTGAAGGCACTGTACCTATGTATCTTTCATCCTTCTTTCTTGCACTCTCTTTCTCTCACCTGGCTCTGCGTTTGCGGACCCGTCGGTCATAGTCTGCCTCTTCGTAGTAAAGCTCGTTGTGAGTGGTGTCTCTGTGCCTGGCTGCTGCAGAGATCATGGCCCGAGACTTACCCCCCACCTGCAGTCCCCCCGACCCCTCTGCCGGCCCCGCCGGGTTCCCTGGGCCTACGAACAGGAAGCACAGAGGCATAATCGGAAGGTCACTGTGTGGCCCAATCAGCATATCAACCCGGGGGAAACACAGATCTCAGTGAGGATTCTAAATCTAAAAATCTCATCAGGCAGTTTTACAGTTCAAATCCTTTCACTGTGAGACTGATGAAATATTCAGCTTGGTAGTCACAGCTGATTATATGGTTTAGCCATCTGCCAAATAACAACAGAGTTAGCTAAAGCAGAAACTAACACATCTGGCTACCAGGCTAGTACATATTCATCAAATAAAATACAATAATACCAGTTTGATTATATAATTCACATCTCTCTATGGTGAATACCAATAACTAACCCAGAAGTAGTAAAAGCATAAATAAGGGTTCCTGGGATATATGAATATGGAGTAGTGGAATCTGGTCCATATTCATGAGCGATATGTGGGTATGAGGGGAGTTCAGTACAGTAACCCCGGCAGATACAGGTCAAGAGAGATGAATCAATTAATCATTAACACCAAGGTGTGTATGTGTGTGTGTGTGCGCGCATGTGTATGTGTGTAAGGGTGAACGAAGCACACGCTTGTTTAGCACAGCCTGTTTCCGTTTGAAAAATACATGTTTTATGAAATGTTCTGCATTCCTATTCTTTCTAAATCGCCCAAAATAAATATGGGTGAGTTCCATTAGGGCAGATCTGGAGTGGAAAGATGTGGGCTGTTTAAAAACACTAGCAGCCCTAAAGACCCACTTTGCTTGCCTACAGAAACACTTCAACTTCTGACTTGACTGGAGAACACACTCAGAGAAGGAGAGAGCGAGAGAGCGCGAGACAGACAGAGACAGAGACAGAGAGAGAGAGAGAGAAAGAGAGACAGACGGAGAGAGAGAGACAGACAGAGAGGAGAGAGGAGAAAGTGATAAAGATAGGTAGAGAGGTAGGGTAGAGAAAGAGAGATGAGAGAGAGAGGAGAGTGAAAGTGATAAAGATAGATAGGGTGAGTGAAAGAGAGAGAGGTAGGGTAGAGAAAGAGAGAGGTAGGGTAGAGAAAGAGAGGTCGGGTAGAGAATGAGAGAGGTAGGGTAGAGAAAGAGAGGTCGGGTAGAGAAAGAGAGGTAGGGTAGAGAAAGAGAGGTACGGTAGAGAAAGAGAGGTAGGGTAGAGAATGAGAGGTAGGGTAGAGAAAGAGAGGTCGGGTAGAGAATGAGAGGTAGGGTAGAGAAAGAGAGGTAGGGTAGAGAATTAGAGGTAGGGTAGAGAAAGAGAGGTAGGGTAGAGAAAGAGAGGTAGGGTAGAGAAAGAGAGGTCGGGTAGAGAATGAGAGAGGTAGGGTAGAGAATGAGAGAGGTAGGGTAGAGAATTAGAGAGGAAGGGTAGAGGAAGGTAGAGAAAGAGGTAGGGTAGAGAATGAGAGCGGTAGGGTAGAGAATGAGAGAGGTAGGGTAGAGAAAGATAGGTAGGGTAGAGAATGAGAGAGGTAGGGTAGAGAATGAGAGAGGTAGGGTAGAGAAAGAGAGGTAGGGTAGAGAATGAGAGAGGTAGGGTAGAGAATTAGAGAGGTAGGGTAGAGAATTAGAGGTAGGGTAGAGAAAGAGAGGTAGGGTAGAGAAAGAGAGGTAGGGTAGAGAAAGAGAGGTAGGGTAGAGAATGAGAGGTAGGGTAGAGAATGAGAGAGGTAGGGTAGAGAACGAGAGAGGAAGGGTAGAGGAAGGGTAGAGAAAGAGAGAGGTAGGGTAGAGAATGAGAGAGGTAGGGTAGAGAAAGATAGGTAGGGTAGAGAAAGAGAGGTAGGGTAGAGAATGAGAGAGGTAGGGTAGAGAAAGAGAGAGGTAGGGTAGAGAATTAGAGAGCAAGAGGGGTAGGGTAGAGAAAGAGAGAGAGGGTAGAGAGAGAGAGAGAAAGAAAGAGAGAGATTGCAGGGGAATGTGCAGAGTAAGTTACTGTGATGAATTATTGAAAGGCTGAAATGCCAAACCCTCTGAAGCCCTCTCTCCCCATCCCCTCACCCATCCCATACTTTGACAAGGGGAGGGTGGGAGGGTTCTGTGAGGACACCGTACCAGCATACTCCTCTACCAAACTCCACAACAAAGACCATAGAGAAGAACCATAAAAGTGGTCTCGCACTGAGTTGGGAACACCCAAGGCCTCCAGGGGCAGTCGGTGCCTGTGTGTGTGTGTGTGTGTGTGTGTGTGTGTGTGTGTGTGTAGCATATCTGGTGAATGAAAGAAGTGGTTAGATTGGTATGTATCTGTGTGTGCATGCATAGAAGCAGTGCAAACATTGTGGGTGAGGGAAGGGAAGTGATGAGTGAGGTTAGTAGTGTACACTAGGTTAGTAGTGTACACTAGTGAAAAGTGTGAGGACACACAGAATAATCTTTACCCAGCTTTACTTACTGTCATATTCCAAAAGGTAAGCTCTCAGTTTAGCTTTAAACATTGCTTAGGGTGGCATGGGAGAGTAGATAGAGAGATAGCATCACAACGAAGCACATACAGTGGGGGAAAAAAGTATTTAGTCAGCCACCAATTGTGCAAGTTCTCCCACTAAAAAAGATGAGAGAGGCCTGTAATTTTCATCATAGGTACACGTCAACTATGACAGACTAATTGAGGAAAAAAAATCCAGAAAATCACATTGTAGGATTTTTAATGAATTTATTTGCAAATTATGGTGGAAAATAAGTATTTGGTCACCTACAAACAAGCAAGATTTCTGGCTCTCACAGACCTGTAACTTCTTCTTTAAGAGGCTCCTCTGTCCTCCACTCGTTACCTGTATTAATGGCACCTGTTTGAACTTGTTATCAGTATAAAAGACACCTGTCCACAACCTCAAACAGTCACACTCCAAACTCCACTATGGCCAAGACCAAAGAGCTGTCAAAGGACACCAGAAACAAAATTGTAGACCTGCACCAGGCTGGGAAGACTGAATCTGCAATAGGTACGCAGCTTGGTTTGAAGAAATCAACTGTGGGAGCAATTATTAGGAAATGGAAGACATACAAGACCACTGATAATCTCCCTCGATCTGGGGCTCCACGCAAGATCTCACCCCGTGGGGTCAAAATGATCACAAGAACAGTGAGCAAAAATCCCAGAACCACACGGGGGGACCTAGTGAATGACCTGCAGAGAGCTGGGACCAAAGTAACAAAGCCTACCATCAGTAACACACTACGCCGCCAGGGACTCAAATCCTGCAGTGCCAGACGTGTCCCCCTGCTTAAGCCAGTACATGTCCAGGCCCGTCTGAAGTTTGCTAGAGTGCATTTGGATGATCCAGAAGAGGATTGGGAGAATGTCATATGGTCAGATGAAACCAAAATAGAACTTTTTGGTAGAAACTCAACTCGTCGTGTTTGGAGGACAAAGAATGCTGAGTTGCATCCTAAGAACACCATACCTACTGTGAAGCATGGGGTTGGAAACATCATGCTTTGTGGCTGTTTTTCTGCAAAGGGACCAGGACGACTGATCCTTGTAAAGGAAAGAATGAATGGGGCCATGTATCGTGAGATTTTGAGTGAAAACCTCCTTCCATCAGCAAGGGCATTGAATATGAAACGTGGCTGGGTCTTTCAGCATGACAATGATCCCAAACACACCGCCCGGGCAACGAAGGAGTGGCTTCGTAAGAAGCATTTCAAGGTCATGGAGTGGCCTAGCCAGTCTCCAGATCTCAACCCCATAGAAAATCTTTGGAGGGAGTTGAATGTCCGTGTTGTCCAGCGACAGCCCCAAAACATCACTGCTCTAGAGGAGATCTGCATGGAGGAATAGGCCAAAATACCAGCAACAGTGTGTGAAAACCTTGTGAAGACTTACAGAAAACGTTTGACCTGTGTCATTGCCAACAAAGGGTATATAACAAAGTATTGAGAAACTTTTGTTATTGACCAAATACTTATTTTCCACCATAATTTGCAAATAAATTCATTAAAAAATCCTTTTCTCATTTTGTCTGTCATAGTTGACGTGTACCTATGATGAAAATTACAGGCCTCTCTCATCTTTTTAAGTGGGAGAACTTGCACAATTGGTGGCTGACTAAATACTTTTTTTCCCCACTGTACATAGACAAATACAGTGGACAGACAGCTGAGAGAATGGAGAGACAGGTAGAGCGAGAAAGAGAAAGAATGAAAGAGACAGAGTTGCACTTTAAGATGCAATTACAAAGAGGAAAAGAGAGATGATTGGAAGTTGGATGACACATACAGGGACACAAATCAAACGTAACCATTGAAGAAAACCATTGAAGAAACACAGAATCTGTAGCTGTACTAACCATCCACGATGTAGACCTTGAGGCCGGCCAGATGCTTGGCGGCACGGTGCTTGGAGGCGGAGAGAAGGGCGGGGTTATGAAGAGGGAAGTCTCTGTAGTAGAACTCTAGCAGAGACAGAGCTGCCCTCTGAACACTGAGACAGACAGAGACAGAGACAGAGACAGAGAGAGCGAGAGCGAGAGCGAGAGAGCGAGAGCGAAAAGGCCATAAAGGGGTAGGAGGGGAGAGAAAACAGATAGATCTATTATAAAAGAAGGTCAGAAAATAAGTCCATTATTGTCCCTGCTAATTTGATTCACCTGATAAATAGCTCTTACTGAGCAGCATGCCTCATATCTACACTACTCCCCCAGACCAGACTACTGCAGACCAGGGCTACGTTATACAGCGTTCCCTGCTTTCAACTGTCCTCCAGTCTCAGGCCTTTCTACAGGAGATCAGTCAGTATCAGACAGAGAGGCTAGAGGTGAGGCAGCATAGAGAGATAGAACCACACATATACTGTATCAATGCCTGGTCAAATCTATGTACACTTAGCTAACCTTTCTGCTAGGGATCAGCACGGTTATTCAAATATCTGACGGACGTTAGTATTCAAATACTTGTGTGAGTATTCATTCAAATGATTAATTTCATAAAACAACAAGGTGCACAGAGCGCCCCATAAATAGACCGGTAGCCTTCATGTGTGTAGCTTTTTGTTGATGTTGGCCAATCAAAGCGACAAAGAGGCTCAATGTGTAGTGGAGTGAGAGTTCACTTATGCAATGCAAAATTGAATAAAATTAAAGAATTAAAAGTTAGCGAAATGAGAAGGAGTAGGCTACAATGACCAACCAACAGGTAGGCTATTTTATCTGAATGGGGTTGGGGAGAAAGCGAAGCATGTGGCCTCAATTAGCCTGGCTAGCTATAGCTGGCTAGCTTAGCTTGTTAGCTTCTCTAGACCACTCCAGTCAAGACAGACACTGTTATATGGGATGATAAATAACGTTGTGGCTGCTACAAGTTGGCTAGTCTTGGCTGTAGCCGAGTTGCCTTGGCGTCCCTCACGCTGTCTGCTCGCGCCCATCTCACACACTGCCCCCTCCGCAGCTGCAGCAATAGAGTGCCAGCCTCTCTTTTAAAAAAGTTTTAAAGTATAAAAAAACTAAATGTTTTTTGAATATCCGACAAAAATTCATGATATCATTGAAATAGTGATTTTTTTTCAAACCCCCATCCCTAATTTCTGCAGCAGTGTCTAATACTTCAGAAGTACTGTTGAGAATATTTAATGTCCAATGCAGCCGTTTTTATCTCAATATCAAATCATTTCTGGGTAACAATTAAGAGCAATTTCACCATGGAAGGCCCAAAGGGCATTCTCATAATTTTCACAATTTAACAGTATTATTCCAACCTCATAGTGTGGAAATATATATAAAACACAGGAAAATCATGTTTTTGATTGCACTGGGCCTTTAAACCATATGCTTTTGATAAGAGAGACAGCTCTGGGTAGAAGTTGTCCTAAGGCACAGATCTAAGATCAGTTTACTCTCCATAAATCCTGAACAGTTATGAAGAAAATGCCAAATCTGACTGTAGATCAGTGTCTGGAAGGTAAATTCACCATACTGTATCAAAGCCCCCCTTTCTTAGGCCCAGCCCACCTAATTCCCAGAATAGCACCCTAGAGCGAAAGGACTGGACTGGAGCATTCTGGGTGATTTAGTAAGTAAATTACTGCCACGCTTCCCCCTGAACATGAGTCTCCAATTACCCACAGTTCAACAGGGCAGTCGTGTGTGTGTGTGTATGCGTGTGTGTACTGTGTGTGAGCTTGTACTGTATGTGTGTGTGTGGGGGGGAGGGGGCATTCTAAAGGCATTCTCTAATAGTCTGATTGTCTGTAAATGTTTCTGCTATCTGATTGATCAGCTGACTGGCTTCTGCTTAGTGGCATCAAGGGACACAACAAGGTTTCTCAATTCATCAGGGCCACACCATTCAGTTCCCTCCTTGTTGTATACAGACAGACTGAGTTCAAGTGGAAGTAACATTTCGGTTGGACCTTAATGTGAATAAAGTGATCTTAATCTTCATATTGCTGGTAGAAGAATGACGTCGCTACGGTTAGCAGCACCATTTTAGCAAGAGATTGTTGTGTGCTTGTGTGTGTGTATTACCTGAGCTGTCCCAGGTTGTAGCAGCGTGTCTCTCCGTCAGTGGAGCGTATAACACACAGGCTGTAGCAGGGCTGGAGATGTCTGATCTCCAGCAGTACGATGGCCAGGTAGTGGACAAACAGCAGAGAGTCCACCAGAGACACAGCAAACTGGACGATACCTTGGTAGTCCTCATCCTGGAGAATACACAACACAGGATTAACACACACACACACACACACACACACACACACACACACACACACACACACACGCACGCACGCGCACAATTATGAATCATACACACCTGTGAGTCGAGGATGCGGACCCCATAGAACAACCAGTAGGAGAGTGTGAGTAGTAGTGTGAGCGTGGCCAGGAGAGCACGGTACACACACACTCTGGGCAGGCTGGCACTGGCCTGGCGCAGGAAGATAGCCCAAACAGCAAGCAGAAGAATGAGGAGTTTACAGGACACAGAGAGGAAGAGGCCCTCACAGGCAGAGCCACAGGCCTGCAGCCTAGCCGGCCACAGCACTGCCGGGAGGACCAGGAATGCCAGGGGGGTGGCCAGGACCAGTAGCCCCACACAGAAGCCCAGAACCAGGGGAGTGTAGCTCCGACATCCCTGCCCCTGACCGTCCTCCGGTCCCTTCCACAGACCAACCACCTCCTCCTGGGATAGACTGAGCTCTGAGGTGCCGGTTACCGCCGTGGTGGTCTCCCCCCAGTTATCATCCTGAGAAAGAGAAAGAGAGAGAGAGAGAGGGGAGGGAGGGAAAGAGAGGAAAGATGGAGAAAGGAGCGGGAGATGAGAGAAAAAGAGAGAGAGAAGAGAGGACAGAGGGAGAGAGGAGATGGAAAGATATTAAAACTTAGCATATTGTTGATAATCTCTGACTGATAGCACGGACACATCCAGAAAAGAGAGGTTGAGAAAGAGAGAGGTGAAAATAGTAAGATAGAAAAGGACAGAAATACTCTGTGGAGGGATGGTATGAGAGAGACAAGCCAAAGTGACAAACACACACTGGTAGATACACATTCTGGTGTGATTCCAGTCTATGTCCCTTGCATATACAAAGCCAGACAGACTGGAGACACACTGACTAAATCCCTTGAGATTTATTGCAAACATCTCATCCATCATTCTATTAAAGGAGGCCTTTGGTTTTACTGGAGTTCTGTGTTACCGTGACAGGCTTTCAGCTCCCCACTGATCCACACAGTCAGACTGCTCATCATGACCAGGTAGGGATGACACACACACACGGCTGATGTTATGCAGGCCTATCATTGCAAATTAGAGTCAAATCTCATCTCCCAGCTCAGGATGCAGTTTATCATAAATGTGCCTGAGGAGCAAAGAGCACAGCGAGACACTGATTAAAATACCTGTCTGCTGAAGAGAGCATTTCTTTTACTTTCAATTATTCAGCTATTTATTTCTCTGTTAATTCTTTCCCTTTCTCGCTCTCTCTGTCAGGTAAGGAGCTGGGAACAGAGAGTGTGTGTGCGTGGATTGGAATACCACAGCCCCTCTTCTTGTGTCAGCCCACACAAGCATGCATACACTTACATAGCAAACACTAACCCACACGACACCCCTAAAACTTCATCCCTTGACAGATGGACACACCACCTGACATGCCATTAGGAAATTACACTGGGAGAGAGACGTAGAGAAATAAGGGGAGAGAGAAATCCTCATTGTGATTGCTGAGTAAAAGCAGCTTTATAACCCTCTGTGGTTTGATGTTAAATGGTGGTGAGGCAACACGATCTGATAGTTTCCCTCCGGAATTTGACGTTTTATGGATGAACATTATTTTTGATGCAATCATTCTGTGTGGTTACAGGGTTAAAACAGAAGCAACTCAAATGTTAACAGTTAATGCATTAACTCCAAGTGGTTAAGGTTAGGGCAATGGTTTGGGGAAGGCTTAAAACTAAATAATTAAAAAACGACGCGCTATTACCATCAAGTATTCTCACGGCTTGCTAGAGCATTGTGAACTGTGGTGGCGCAGTGGTCTGAGCAGGGCACTTCGGCTCTGAGCATCCCGAGTTTGCGCCCAGTGCTGGGCAGTAATTTTTCAATTTTTTCCTGAGCGCTGAGGAAGGCCTACAGTGCATTTCGGAAAGTATTCAGACCCCTTCCCTTTTTCCACGTTTTGTTATGTTACAGTCTTATTCTAAAATTGCTTAAATGTATTTTTTTCCTCATCAAATCTACACACAATACCCCATAATGACAAAGTGAAAACAGGTTTTTAGAAATGTTTGCAAATGTATAAAAAATAAACATGTATTCAGAACATTTGCTATGAGACTTGAAATTGAGCTCAGGTGCATCCTGTTTCCATTGATCATCCTTGAGCTGTTTCTACAACTTGATTGGAGTCCACCTGTGGTAAATTCAATTGATTGGACATGATTTGGAAAGGCACACTCACACACATGTCTATATAAGGTCCCACAGTTGACAGTGCATGTCAGAGCAAAAACCAAGCCATGAGGTCGAAGGAATTGTCCGTAGAGCTCCAAGACAGGATTGTGTCGAGGCACAGATCTCGGGAAGGGTATCAATAAATGTCTGCAGCATTGAAGGTCCCCAAGAACACAGTGGCCTCAATCATTCTTAAATGGAAGAAGTTTGGAACCACCAAGATAGCTGGCCGCCTGGCCAAACTGAGAAATCGGGGGAGAAGGACCTTGGTCAGGGAGGTGACCAAGAACCCAATGGTCACTCTGAAAGAGCTCCAGCGTTTCTCTGTGGAGATGGGACAACCTTCCAGAAGGACAACCATCTCTGCAGCACGCCACCAATCAGGCCTTTAAGGTAGTGGCCAGACTGAAGCCACTCCTCAGTAAAAGGCACATGACAGCCCACTTGGAGTTTACCTAAAGGACTCTCAGACCATGATAAACAAGTTATTCTGGTCTGATGAAAACAATATTGAACTCTTTGGCCTGAACTTCAAGCGTCACGTCTGGAGGAAACCTGGCACCATCCCTATGTTGAAGCATGGTGGTGGCAGCATCATGCTGTGGGGAGGTTTTTCAGCGGCAGGGACTGGTCGACCAGTCAGGATCGAGGGAAAGATGAACGAAGTAAAGTACAGAGAGATCCTTGATGAAAACATGCTCCAGAGCGCTCAGGACCTCAGACTGGGGCAAAGGTTCACCTTCTAACAGGACAACGACCCTAAGCACACAGCCAAGACAACGCATTAGTGGCTTCGGGACAAGTCTCTGAATGTCTTTGAGTGGCCCAGCCAGAGGCCGGACTTGAACCCGATCTCTGGAGAGACCTGACAATAGCTGTGCAGCGACGCTCCCCATCCAACCTGACAGAGCTTGAGAGGTTCTGCAGAGAACAATGGGAGAAACTCCCCAAATACAGGTGTGCCAAGCTTGTAGCGTCATACCCAAGACGACTCGAGGCTGTAATCGCTGCCAGTTCCTTAAACAAAGTACTGAGTAAAGGGTCTGAATACTTAGAAAAAATTAAAAACTGAAATATCACATTTACATAAATTTGCACAAATGTATGAAAGAACGTTTTGCTTCGACATTATGGGGTATTGTGTGTAGATTGATGAGGGAAAAAAACAATTTAATCAAGTTTAGAATAAGGCTGTAATGTTACAAAATGTGGAAAAAGTCAAAAGGGTCTGAATACTTTCTGAATGCACTGTATATCGACGTTCTCAGGACCTTTTCAAACGTCCGAAATAAAAGTATATTTCTAGTGATCAGGATGGGTGAGGAGAGTCACTTGGTGGTGGTGACCGTCTCTAATGGCTGTATTTGACCTCACATCCACATTGTGCTCTCCAATAGGTGGCAATCAGGCAACTAGTCACATTGGTCCAAACTGCACTACTAATGTGTGTGTGTGTGCGCGCAGTGGCGTACCGCAGTTTCGTGCACTGTAATTTTATAACTAATTGCTATTCTACACATTTAGCAATGAGGCTAAATGGAATTCCCCTCGACCACGCACACAAATTGGGGAAAACAAACATTCTTTAAAAGAGCCAACTTCGTTGTTGATTTTTTGTTATACAGAAATAACAAAACATGCCAAAAAGCTGCTGTGTTGTTCAATGTACATATAACCAGGTGAAAAATCTCCACCTACGGTTCGCATTGCTCCCACATAGGGAAATGGAGCCTGTGAGAAGAGTCCTGTGGCTTCAGGCTATTCAGTGTGGGAGAGTGGGTAATGCTGGGACCCGGTATCATCACAGGTAAGACATTTAACTTGTTTAGTACAGTCCGTTTGTAACTACCACTCACTACTTGTAGCTGTATAGTCTGTTTGTTTTGTGTTGTTGGTCTTGGCTAGCTTAATGTTCCGGTCGGTAGCTAGCTAACACTCACTCACGTGGCTGCTAGCATCGTCATGAAAAGGGGAAAGAGGGAAGCCCTGCAATATTACGTTTTATTTTCTAACGCTAGGGAACAGGCAATGTTGAAAAGTAATCTTTAGACATGTTGTACTTTTCTTAAAATGTAGTTTTGTAATTGACTAAAACAAGCAGACAAGAAAATTGCATTTGAAAAAGGTAAAGTTTTTGTGAAAGGTGATAAACCCTGTCTGCTGATGGTCCCAAAGAAAGTCCCAAGTCTTGGAGAGACTGAAGGGTATATCACCAATGGGTTATATATGCTACTGGTTTACTGTTATAATTGGTTGTAGGACTACAAAAATACTGTTGAAAGTAACAATGCATAGACCTAGAACATGCATGGCGAACCTTGCTCCAAGAGATCAAGCTACTGGGTGTGCAGGTTTCTGTTCCAGCCCAGCCCTGACATTCTGCTTATCATTTGTATTAGACACTATTCATTTAATTATTCACTCATCTCTTGTTTTGGAGTAAGATGAATGTCTATACCCACTAACCATTTAAATAGGCATTCTTTGTATGATATTAAATAGTGTTGATTCTTTGAATTATATATAGTGCATTTTTTGGTCACTGAACATTCCCTGTTTGTCTGTTTTATTTGGCTGTCACTCACTCTCATTTTGTCTGATGATATTGCACAGATTTGCAGCTGCAGTCCTTGATCATTGGTGTGGGTGTAACAATCCCTGTATGGATGCAACCCCTGCACACAACAGCACTTCATTTCCAAAAAGCAGCAGCCATTATCATACCAAAACCATGATCTTGGTTGGGCTAGGATAACAGTACTTCAGGTCTCAGGGTGGGTGACATCACCACACGATGGCTACACTCACTGACCACCACCTTCTCCACATCAACCTCAGCAGCCAGCAGAGCAGACTGTGTGAATTGAGTCAATCTAGCACCCACAAAATACATTTTGTGGGTATTTATTCTGCTACATTGACTCGGACCACACAGTCGGCGGCTGAGTTATACTGTGATGAAAGGGGTGTGACTGTGGCAGAGGTGAGATGCAGCCGAGTTCTAGTAGCCACTATGATGTGATGTCATTCCCCCTGAGACTTGAAGTTGTGTCTCCTCCTGTCTATCATGAATGTATCTGTATTTTAATACTGTAAGCATCTCGGCTGCGGGAGTATCTCCTCCTGCAATTTTGTGCCGATTTGCTTCATTCTGCTACACTCACTGTCCTCCTTCTCCAGTGGTTGGCATGCTAGCTACACATGTAATTTGATTAGGGTTTGTGTCCCGGTCAGCCATACAGGGATAGAACTCGTACATTACATGGCTACTTTGCAGCCCATGTAAAAGTTACCCTTCACTGTGGTCACTCTCCAGGGTATTTTTCTCTTGCCTCCACTATCCATGCTCTACCCTTTTGGTTACAGTGTATGTGAGATTATTTATGGCATGCATGCCCAATGCAGACATGATGGGATTAGCACTGGCCTCGTGGGCATGTCCAATGCACTTGTCCAATGTGGCTTGTCATTTCTATACTGAAACAGGATTTGCAAATCCTCACACATTGTTTACATTTTGCTGAGATGTTTTCTCCATTTGAAATGATACTATTAGAAATAGGAAAAGCCCTCACATCTGAGATAACTTGTGTGTGTTAATAATTTGCTAATTACTTTAAAAATAAACTGCTGATTAATAATGGCAAGATCAGTGTGTGGGTTTTTCTTTTTCAGTTGACAATGAAAGAGGCTAACCAATCTGGACCCCTACAAATGAGCTGGGCTAGACAATCTGGACCCTTTCTTTCTAAAACTAGCCGCCGAAATTGTCGCAACCCCTATTACTAGTCTGTTCAACCTCTCTTTCATAACGTCTGAGATCCCCAGAGATTGGAAAGCTGCCGCGGTCATCCCCCTCTTCAAAGGGGGTGACACTCTAGATCCAAACTGCTACAGACCTATATCCATCCTGCCCTGCCTTTCGAAAGTATTTGAAAGCCAAGTTAACAAACAGATCACCGACCATTTCGAATACCACCGTACCTTCTCCGCTATGCAATCCGGTTTCCGAGCTGGTCACGGGAGCACTTCAGCCACGCTCAAGGTCCTAAACGATATTATAGTTGATAATAGACAGTACTGTGCAGCCGTCTTCATCGTCCTGGCCAAGGCTTTCGACTCTGTCAACCACCGCATTCTTATTGGCAGACTAAATAGCCTTGGTTTCTCAAATGACTGCCTCGCCTGGTTCACCAACTACTTCTCAGATAGAGTTCAGTGTGTCAAATCGGAGGGCCTGTTGTCTGGACCTATGGCAGTCTCTATGGGGGTGCCACAGGGTTCAATTCTTGGGCCGACACTTTTCTCCGTGTATATCAATGATGTCGCTCTTGCTGCTGGTGACTCTCAGATCCACCTCTACGCAGACGACACCCTTTTGTATACATCTGGCCCTTCATTGGACACTGTGTTAACAAGCCTCCAAACGAGCTTCAATGCCATACAACAATCCTTCAGTAGCCTCCAACTGCTCTTAAACACTAGTAAAACTAAATGCATGCTTTTCAATCGAACGCTGCTGGCACCCGCCCACCCGACTAGAATCACCACTCTCGACGTGTCTGACCTAGAGTATGTGGACAACTACAAATACCTAGGTGTCTGGTTAGACTGTAAACTCAACTTCCAGACTCACATAAAGAATCTCCAATCCAAAGTTAAATCTAGAATCGGCTTCCTATTTCGCAACAAAGCCTCCTTCACTCATGCTGCCAAACATGCCCTCGTAAAACTGACTATCCTACCGATCCTTGACTTCGGCGATGTCATTTACAAAATAGCCTCCAACACTCTACTCAGCAAATTGGATGTAGTCTATCACAGTGCCATCCGTTTTGTCTCCAAAGCCCCATACACTACCCACCACTGTGACCTGTACGCTCTTGTTGGCTGGTCCTCACTACATGTTCGTCGTCAAACCCACTGGCTCCAGGCCATCTATAAATCACTGCTAGGCAAATCCCCGCCTTATCTTAGCTCATTGGTCACCATAGCAGCACCCACCCGTAGTCTGCGCTCCAGCAGGTATATCTCACTGGTCATTCCTAAAGCCAACACCTCCTTTGGCCGCCATTCCTTCCAGTTCTCTGCTCCAATGACTGGAACGAATTGCAAAAATCTCTGAAGCTGGAGACTCTTATCTCCCTCAATAACTTTAAGCATCAGTTGTCAGAGCACCTTACCGATCACTGCACCTGTACACAGCCCATCTGAAATTAGCCCACCCAACTACCTCATCCCTATATTCTTATTTATTTTGCTCTTTTGCACCCCAGTATCTCTATTTGCACATAATCTCTTGCACATCTAGCATTCCAGTGTTAATACTATTGTAATTATTCTGCACTATAGCCTATTTATTGCCTTACCTCCATAACTTGCTACATTTGCACACACTGTATATATATTTTCTGTTGTATTTTTGACTTTATGTTTTTTACCCCATATGTAACTCTGTGTTGTTTTTATTGCACTGCTTTGCTTTATCTTGGCCAGGTCGCAGTTGTAAATGAGAACCTGTTCTCAACTGGCTTACCTGGTTAAATAAAGGTGAAATAAAAAATTAATAAAAATAAAAAAGTATACTAGATTTGACTTTGACATGCTCTACATGCCATCATTACATTTACATTTTAGTCATTTAGCAGACGCTCTTATCCAGTTAGTGAGTGCATACATAATTTTTTTTTTTTTTCATACCCCCACGTGGGAATCGAACCCACAACCCTGGCGTTGCAAACGCCATGCTCTACCAACTGAGCTACATCCCTGCCGGCCATTCCATCCCCTACCCTGGATGACGCTGGGCCAATTGTGCGCCGCCCCATGGGTCTCCCGGTCGCGGCCGGCTACAACAGAGCCTGGATTTGATCCAGGATCTCTAGTGGCACAGCTAGCACTGTCACCACTGCGCCACTCGGGAGGCCATGAAATGGATTAGCGCAAGCCCTACCATTGTCATGAAGGTAGGCCTTAATAAGGATGACATGGTCAGGAGAGACATTATTAGCAAATAGGGTGGGCAGAAAGGAATATTTCAAGGTTCATTTGATTTAATTTCAAAATAAATGTCCAATTTGTTTGCTTCATGTAATGTATCATCCTGGTGTAATGAATATGCAGTTCAACATTATCACCACACGGTGTCAGCGCTAGCATTTGTATTATAAGCTTTACTACATGTAAACAAACCATTAGCTTGGTCTCGTAACTTGAGGTCGATAATACATGCCTAGCACAAGCTAGAGGTTCATTAAAACTGCAGTATGTTTATTAATTGAAACTAAGTGGGCGATACACCAATGTAAAATATAGTTGCGTTTTGGAGGAACTGGAAGCAGACGAAGAGGAAGGAGTGACATATTAGTGAGGGGGAGAGAGAGGTTGATAGTGGGGTAATAACTGCTGCTAGCTAACGTTTGATGTAAACAATGTGGCAGTCAAACATTGAACTCGTACATTTAGTTTAGTTATATTGTTGGTTGTCGTGAGAGAGATTCTATCTAGCTGGCTAACAAGGTAAACTGATCTTTCTCGCTTCACATAACGCTAGCTCTGATAAAATGTTGTGCTAGCCAAATGTAACACCACCAAAGTAAACAGATAATAAACGGGAAATAAACATTGTCTGATGATTTTGTTTAGTGGATCTGGTACCTACAAGTAAATGTGTGTATATAATTCATTTGTTCAATCTTTTGGTTAGATATGAAAGAAATATGAGCTAATCATTTTGTGCTAGCTAGCCAACTAACTTGCTAGTTAGCAATTATGGCATGCTGCAGCACTGGATGTTTACTGGGGTACCTCTTGATGCGCTTGCAAATAGAACAAGTTAGTTTTGACAGTTGAAAAGGTCTATAGAAAAGTAAAAATAAATTATTTGTCATGCCCGTGGTATACGGTATGATACAGTGGGGGAAAAAGTATTTAGTCAGCCACCAATTGTGCAAGTTCTCCCACTTAAAAAGATGAGAGAGGCCTGTAATTTTCATCATAGGTACACGTCAACTATGACAGACAAATTGAGAAAAAAAAATCCTGAAAATCACATTGTAGGATTTTTTATGAATTTATTTGCAAATTATGGTGGAAAATAAGTATTTGGTCACCTACAAACAAGCAAGATTTCTGGCTCTCACAGACCTGTAACTTCTTCTTTAAGAGGCTCCTCTGTCCTTCACTTGTTACCTGTATTAATGGTACCTGTTTGAACTTGTTATCAGTATAAAAGACACCTGTTCACAACCTCAAACAGTCACACTCCAAACTCCACTATGGCCAAGACCAAAGAGCTGTCAAAGGACACCAGAAACAAAATTGTAGACCTGCACCAGGCTGGGAAGACTGAATCTGCAATAGGTAAGCAGCTTGGTTTGAAGAAATCAACTGTGGGAGCAATTATTAGGAAATAGAAGACATACAAGACCACTGATAATCTCCCTCGATCTGGGGCTCCACGCAAGATCTCACCCCGTGGGGTCAAAATGATCACAAGAACGGTGAGCAAAAATCCCAGAACCACACGGGGGGACCTAGTGAATGAGCTGCAGAGAGCTGGGACCAAAGTAACAAAGCCTACCATCAGTAACACACTACGCCGCCAGGGACTCAAATCCTGCAGTGCGAGACGTGTCCCCCTGCTTAAGCCAGTACATGTCCAGGCCCGTCTGAAGTTTGCTAGAGTGCATTTGGATGATCCAGAAGAGGATTGGGAGAATGTCATATGGTCAGATGAAACCAAAATAGAACTTTTTGGTAAAAACTCAACTCGTCGTGTTTGGAGGACAAAGAATGCTGAGTTGCATCCAAAGAACACCATACCTACTGTGAAGCATGGGGGTGGAAACATCATGCTTTGGGGCTGTTTTTCTGCAAAGGGACCAGGACGAC